TTAGTAGCCCCATTGCTAGCAGTATACTTTATCAGGTCGACCTCCTCGTGTTTCCACTTGGAAACCGTCGTAGTTGATTTATTATTAGATTTATCACGATAGGCTAACTGGCTTGCTTCATTCTCATCTATCATCTCTCATTGGTGTCCCGATAATGTATACCATTGGCGTTACCATTCCATTATTATCTATTAAAAGAATATCCGGATAAGTAGATAAAGAAGAGGTTAGATCAGTTGGCCTATCGTGATTAGTTCAATTCGCCAGTGCGTGGAGGTCGACTTGATGTACGTAGAGTACATTGCTAGCAATGAGGCTGTTAGTTCTCGTAATTTAATCCCTTCCCTCTGTTCAATACAACTCTGTAGGTAATGTAATGCAATATATGTCTATTGAATTTATATTATTTCTATGGAAAGTTTAATTCCATTATCCTGAACTATGTAGGTAACAAACAATTAAACGAAGTTCTAAATTAAATAAACGATTTCCTTGAAGATAAATGTAATAAATTTTCATAATTATATTTTTTTTACTATAAATGTGACATTTTTTTTATATAATATAATTTTTTTCTTATATAATTGTAAATTTGTATACCTCGATAGATGGAGTTGATCATAGAGGACTTATATTGTTTTACCATCTATTGTTACCTATGTATCACAAAATAAATAAATAAATATCTCTTTAAATTTTGACATTTATCATATAGTAAGTATGATAAGTATCCAGACTAGGTTAAAATAGTATTTTTTTTTTATATGGCAAGAAGCTTAAAATTTCATTAAATATTAGCTGTTGCTTTTACCCACTACTTTGTACGCGTGGATTTCAAATGTAGAAAAATCAATGAAACAGACCACTTTTACACTTCTAGATGACGAATCATGATGTTAGATCTTGACACTTTTTATATACTTGATATTGACATTATAAATAATTTAATTAATGTATAAAATAATCATATATATAAATATATATTGTAATTATGCCCATGTGTGAATTTATTATTGTTGATTGTTGTATTTTATTCCATTCTGAATTGACGCCTTTATGATAACTATAAAGTTTATTTATTTATTAAAAATAATTATAACATGATAGTAAAACCAAATTAATGTTATAAACTTAGTGTGTTAACATACAAAAATATAATAAAGGTATTTAACATTATTAATATGATGTAATTGTATTTTTTTTTTATGGTTTGCGGTGCAATATTTAAGGCATCCCGTCCTCGCTATTGGATACGGGTGACGGAATGCCTATACAAGAGGGTACATGGTGGACGCAATTTAGACCCAATATTTGAGGAGCACTACGGCCGGATACTGCAACAAAAACGAGTATGTGGTTGGCTCTCGAACTGGCGACCTCTGCTGTCTACCGGTCTCCAGTTCGAGGGACGACCGATCACCGGCCGTTGTATGTCTGACGATGATATGTAGGCTGTGTTAATTTTTTTTTAAGACGTTATGAACATCTTATAAATTATTATAAAGGTTGTCTGTAAGAGATTGCACTAGCGATAAGACCGCCTTTTGTACCTTTATGTGTATATTTCAATCTGTATTTATGTTACTGTATTTCACTTGAATTATTCACTTGTCATTGTATATTTTTATTTATGGTGCAATAAAGAGTTAAATAAATAAACATAATGTACAGCTCAAAATAAATATTTATTCTATTCTATTCTATCTTCTAGAATATAACCGTGAAAATTTTATTTAATTTGGTGCAATATTTTTGCGTGATGGTGAAACGTTTAGACAAACAAGCAAGGCAAGGGAAAAATATTGTTTTGACTTGTTTTGCTCCTATTAAAAAACCTTACACAAATTTTTCTTAAATTTATTTACTTATTTAATTTGGAAAACACAATAGATATTAATAAAAAAATGTACATAGTTAATTATAGACATGCAAGACATTTGACAAGATTGATACTTTAAAACGTGTTAACACAACATGAATGATATGCAGTTTAAAGTTACCAATGACAACTATTAAAAAAATACTAAAACATTAAATTACCTTATTCAGTTATAATTATATAACTAAATAAAATAAAAAATAAAAATATTAGTAAGGTACCAACATAAAAATAAACAGAATTGGCCTAATTAGTACTAAAATAAAATCACAAACTCGGCTATACAGAGGAGGTAGTGTGTTGCATCACTTATACGAACATTAAAGTGGGAAACAAAACAACTAATCCAGTTGGGGGCGCATTTAGGGGGTTGTCGCCCCTTCGGTCTGCTACAGGCCCTCCCTCGTCTGCCTAGATACAAACGGTAGTAGTCTTATCGATCGTTTTACATACATATTTGCTAAAGACTTTAATTCTGTGTCAGGATCTCTTGTTCTATTGTAGGTTGACGATAAGGCGAAGTTATAATCTGTTTGGTGTACTGTCTATATAGATCAGGTGCATATTATTTATTTATTTATTTATTCTCTATTGCACAATAAAACTTTGTACAAGTGGCGAGCTTATTGCCATATGGCATTTTTTTTAATGGATGATAATGGAATAGTAATCCCACCCGCGCTATCGGTATACACCGGCGGGGCACCAGTGACGGATGATAGGTGAGGATGAAGTAGGTCAGTTAGCCCATCGTGACGAATTCAACAAGAATTGTTCACGATGGTTTCCAGGGGGAACCACGTGGAGGTCGACCTAATAAGGTATACTGCTAGCAATGGGGCTGTCAAATTCCATTGCTAATGATACTTCCCCCCCCCCCCCCGCCATATGGCATTAGGTAACCTAACCATTAGGTAAAAACAGAAAGAGTATGAAGGGTAAATGTGGTGAAAAATAAGTTTGTTAAAATATGATTGTTTTTGTAGTAATATTTACCACTGTAATAATAATAATAATATACTTTAGTACTCAGACTACAATTTGGTTCATTTTGTTAGTAACAGTTTTCTTACAAACTATGTTAGTAAGAAAGAAAAGCAAATTAATTAAAGCAGTTCACTCAGATGTGAGTCAGCCGACTAGAACAGCATCTGAATGAAATGCCCAATTATAGGTGAATTATATTTATCGCCTATTACTTTTAGAATGCTGACGGTGCTTGTCCTAACCCTGTGTAGCAATGATGCAGTTCTCTTTCTCCTTATAGCGTAGTAATCATCTACGCGAGATTGAGCAAACATGCTGGAGGCGCTACAAAAGCGAGGTATTAATATGGACACGTGATGCTCAGGAATGAATGTGGATGGCTATAAGGGCAGAGGAAGATCTAAAAACATGGATGCAATGTGTGACAGATGATATGGCCAGAATAGGAGTGGAAAAGAGCGGAAAAGACTGGGAAATAGAGAAGAATAGAAGAGAAACATATTACCTCAGGTAATAATTGGGACGATAAGAAGATGATGATTAGATATTAAGCACCAGTGAGGAATGATAGGTGAGGACAAAAATACAGGTCAGTTAGTACATCGTAATGAACATATTTGGAATTAAGCACGATGGTTTCCAGTGGGACCACATGGAGGTCGTCCTGGTTGGATATATTGCTAGCAATGGGGCCCTTGATCTCTTATTATTAACAATCCCTGCCCCCCCCCCCGTCACACACATACTAATGGTAGCGGAGTTAAACAAAATAATCCTAATCAAATAGCCAGTGATATGGACTTCCTGAATTTACAGGGTACAGAGAAATAACACTCGAGTCCTCAGGAATGACAACGCGTGGGGGGTGCCATGGACGAAACAGTATACTCTATTAAGTCCTTGGTACTGCTCATATCTATAAGCGGCGGTTACCATTTCCAATCAGGTGGGCCGTCAGCTTGTTTGCCATTTTAAATTGCATTTTAAAAAACCTCTTCAACCTCTTCCTAGTTCAGTAAATATTTCCTAAATATTAAATCGGAATGAATAATGAAATTTAGAGTCTGTCTCACTTAAGTGTTGCCCTCTTAAATGAGACTGGCTCTATCTATGTATAAGGATTATTGCTATCGAGTCAGTAATTAAACAATATTACAGATAACAGTGCAAACATTACAAAACAAACTAATACCAATTTACAAACAGATTAATAGATTATATTAAATTAATCAAATGTTATAATTGCAATCTCCCGATTGGTAATTACCTCAAATGATTCAAATGTAAGCAAGTCGAGTGTTATGTTGATCATAGCACCGATTTTAGACAAATGCTTCTGACTATCCCATTATGGATTACAGTCATGAGTATATTATTGTTTTGATTTAAAGTAGGGACGGTATGACTTGTAAATCATAGATAGATAGATAGATAGATAGATAGAAACTCTTTATTGTTTCCTCCAAAAGATTACAATAGTAAACTTATTATAAATATTAACAATTACAAGAAATGATCACAGTGAGAAAACAATGGGTGACCTTATTGTTAAAAGCGATCTCTTTCAGGCTACCTTAATCATTATGATTAATAACTGGTAAATTCGACACAATGCGTTTATTAGATTGATTTTATTATTACTTACATATCATCATTTACTGATTATCAGACTCCAGTAAAGTACCTCGATAGCGCTTGTTCATTTTTATCCCACAATAATGTTTATGGTATTCCATTGCCGTGTAGTCCCAGCATAGAATGGGCTAATCCTTCCTTTCTCGTGGGTGACGTAAGAGGCGTTTAAAGAAACTAAATAGTCGAAGAATGGGCAGCAGCGTCCTTCTTAAAACATCAACAAAGTCTAATTGCGGTTGCCAACCTGCTTGTCAAGCGTGGCAACAACTACCAAAATTCCTGTAAAAAAATATTTTTAAATGAATGTTATCAAATATGCGATCCACCCCTAGTTGATGCTCAGTTATATCAGAACACACTATGATGCCCATATACTCCCAAAGGCGTCACAGTATATGTATTCTATGATTTTCATAATTTGCATTGACATTGTCAATTAAAGAGAAAAGTAAGGGCGCGATGTCATGCCAGTTGAAAGGAAAGCCGGGAAGCGATGCGTACATACGTCTCATTCAGTCGAGCTACACCCTCGCTTACTTTATTCCACCCCAGCGCCGCGACCCTCTGAATAAAATCAGTTCGTGTACAACCAGCCTAGGGGGCGTCCGTGTCGGCTAGTTTCCCCAGTAAAAGCACGCGATCTCTGCAAACTAGTGCAATATTTAAAACAATTCGAATTTCAAACATTGTGTTCCGCTTGTTACCATTATGAACTTTTCTTACTATGTTTAGTGTTCCCTTTTAGCCGTGTTGTCGTTGCGTTGTTTCCTTGATTTGTTTTAACCTAGTGCCTGTGTAAATGTTTGGTGGACGCCGGACGGCATTTGGCTAACTTACGTAAGTACTAGATTTACTGCAATGCGATACATTGATATAATTAATTACCCAAAAGAGATAAACGTCGCTACAAAAAACATTTTAAAATTCCTATCGCTGATAGGAATTAGCAGCGAACTTTAAAAAGGCGAGCACAAAAGATCATGGTAAGGTCGCAGTGTTACAGGTTTTTCTGCCTGAAAATACTCTGTTTTTTTTTTTTTTTTAAATAATAATAATACTCAAGAGATAAATAAATATAAGTAACGTGCTAATAAAAAATCAACGTCGCTGCTTCTGCGGGTACTTTAACCGTATTGGCATATAATTTCATTTTCATAACACTGATTGATATTGAACTAATTTTTGTTAATTAATTAATTTATTTAAGGCAAACAAACAGCTAGAACAATACATAATTATATACTTAAATAGTAATTTGGCAGCCAATAAAATTTGCACAAATAAAATACAAGTACCTGAAGGAAACACAAAATTAAACAAATACTATTGTTTTATTAGTTAATTAAGATATATTTCTAAATTTTTTTACTATACTATATTAAGTTATTATTATTTGTAACTTTTTTGCAAAGTGTTGTAGATAAATTCTCATTCATTAATTCAAGTAATCATTTAATTTACAAAAGTAATGTTCTAGGTGCCCTACCAGTTGACTTAAAGATTTTTTTTTTTATCTTTAATACGAGTAATATTTTGTATTTGTCTTGTTATTAATATTTATAGTACTTATATAGATAATAAAAACAAATTATTTGAATAATAAAATTAAAAATTGTCTTGACTTTACAAAATGTATAAATTACTTTTATATTCACTTACAATATATTTACCTAAATAACAATTTATTATTTAAGCAAATTTAGAGATAAAATTTATTTATAGAAAACTAACAGATCTCACGATTTCGTCCACGTGACTGGAATAAATAAATTTTTAAATAAAAAAAGTGTATTAGTTACTTAATTAAGGTTAAATGGCAACATACAAACTTATTTACACATTTATAATATTAATAAGGATTAAATATAGTGAATCATACATTTACAGTCGTATTAATTACATAATGCCTATTTTAGAAAAAGCCCTGTACTTATTTAGTGAAGCTAAACAACGAACAAAACAAGAAATATATTCATGTATATTAATTCACACAAGTTCGCTTTCAAGATGACCCGATCGAGAATCGATCCTAGGTCCAGGTACAAGACAGGTACAGGTATAGATAAAAACTGTGGCTGCATCACGAAGGCATTTTTTAATGAATGATAATGGAATTTAAATATGATAATTAGTTTTATTTTTTAATGATAAAGGACTGGTAGTTTGCATTATTACCGATAATATAATGCTTTACTAACAATCTCCCCCCCCCCCCCCTTCCCCGGAAGGTTGTCAAAAATAAAGCTGTTTACTTGTTTGACTAATACTGTATCTTTGTACAGAGATTTGGATGTTTAGATATTCGGATGACGCCTGGATAGATTTGAATGGAAGTTGGCACAATGAGGAACCATATTGTGAATTAAAACATAGTATACCTTTAAGGTCGCTCAGGACCGTTCTTTATGGCAGTCTATGGGGGCGGTTTATGTACAGCAGTTCCTTTTATCTTAATTTACGTAAAGTCGTGTGATACAAATAATATGTTATTGAAATATACTTAAATAAATAATAAATAAATAGATAAATACTTTTTTATTCGTTATTTGTTATGAATTAAATTCGTTACTATTTATTATCTAGTTATTTGCCCCTACTTTGTACGCGTGGATTTCAAAAGTAAAAAAAAAAAAGCAATAAAATAGATTACTTCTAGATAGCATATGAAAATAAAACGTATATCAATTTTGAAATTAGACCATCAGAAATGCAACTGTAAAAACTATATCCAATTTGGTGCAGTAGTTTTTGCGTGATATGGGAACAAACATACAGACAGACAAAAAGACAGGAAGACACAAAATTTCTAAGAAATATTTTTCGTCACCACTGAACTATCTGCCACGTACAGACATCGTCCAGTTACAATTGTACTATATTAGTAAAATTGAGGGAGAGAGAGAAAGAGAGAGAGAGAGAAAAAGAGAGAGGGAGAACGGCAAGAGCTTCAATGATAAGTGGGCAGATCTTAAATAAAATAGATGAACGTTATCATTAGTGTAATATCTTAGTTAATTAGTTACAATATAATTGGATTTAATTGTATTTGTAGTACAAGGAAATATCTACTATTATATTACTATCATCTGTAAATCTAGACACGCGGCAGTGTGTCAAGCCAAGTTCTAGTGAAGAATTGGCGACGTACGTCTTACACGAATCATTTGGAGCCATTTTTCACCCTTTAATAATCAGTTAGGTTTTATCAGCAAACCAAAGTTTTAGAAAAGTAACATATGATGACTAAACAATATATGGTAATATATAATAGGATCTTCATCGTGCCTCTAATCAAACTGTTTGTAATTACTCCTCTCCATCCAAAGGTTGTCTGGAAGAGATTACTTTTAGCGATAGCGGTCGCCCATTGTTTTCTCATTGTGAATATTTCTTGTAATTGTTTATATCTAGAATAAGTTTACTATTGTAATCTTTTGGAAGAAACAATAAAGAGTACCTATCTATCTATAAAAACAGTAACTTGCATATAATGTTATACGCAAAAAAGGTATGTTGATTAGCCAAACATGAGACAATTTCTATGTGAAATCTAGTCAAATAAAACCTTACGTTTCAGTTTATGCTAAGTTATCTACTTTATGCAAATAATCGACTATTCAAATTTAAGAAGATGTATTTTTAAATAGCAAACATTGTTGTAGAAGATAGAAATAAGAAATTGTGTTTTAAATTTATTTTAGAATATTGTGTATTCTTATGAATAAATTTCAGTATTTTCTGCAGAACTTGGCACTCATGTAGACCTTAATTATTATTCGCATATTCTTAATATTGAACTTGGCTCTCTTTTTTCACATTTATGTTTTTGTAAAGATGCAATTATACAACTATGTGTGTACAGGGGTAAAACATAGCAGGTGTATATATAGTCACCTATTTAATTAATTCGGCTACATTGCAAGGCTTCAACTGGCTTGTCGGTTTGAAATGTGTTTGTTCACTATGTGTCTACTACATACAGGGTTCTAATTGCTAAGGAAATTGGAAACTTGTTCAATACCATATGATACGTTATACCTAGTACGGTGACATAAATAGGTAGGTAGGTGTCACTGTGCAAATATTATGTTGCAGTGGCTGTTTTGCGGTTGCTACCAGTTTGTTGTAAGATACAAATGGAGTTCACATTTGCAGCAGTGCGGGTTTATTGAAAAATTCATATTGTTACTAGCTGACCCGGCGTACATTGCTTGAATGAAGAAAATGGACCTGGTAGTGTATACTACTGGATTCATTTTTAGGGATTTTCGTAACGGAATTGTTCAGGTTATTCAAATTAAACGTCCTTTACCAATATTCTTTATTAATACTCAATTCTTAATTCTTTATTACTTATTATTATAAGTATTTCCTTAAGTAGAAAAAATGTTATTATTTATGTAGATTTTATTCACGTTTTATATTCAGGTATACCCAACTATTTTACAACTTTACAGGAGCTCTTATTCATGAGCGCGGTTTTTCTATATCATATGTATAAATTGTGCATCATCATCATCTTCATTATTAAATACAATATTGGTATTTAATATAATGTACACCTATATTTATTTATTTAAACTTAAATGCACAGTGAAACTATGTACATATGGCGGACTTAAAAGCGGTGTTCTCTCAGTTCTGTCGACCATTGGACAAATCAAGAAATAAGTAGGTGGTGCATTAATGAATTGAAGGAATATAAAAATTAATACTTAATATATTCATATATTATAAACATATAATTAGACTAATATAAGCATATATATATATATATATATATAATATTAAATAAATATATACATACATAAATATATATTTTATATATAATTAAAACAGTACGACGCAATAGTAACTATCGAAGGATTTCGATTCTTTACGACTTAACATAAGTTGGAACAACAGTTGGATTCGATATTTTATTGCTGTACCTTTTGAGAATTGGGACGTTGTATTTCCTTTGTCTTATGTGGAATAGATAGGAAGATTAAAGTAGATGTAGTAATTTAAAGTTAGGTAAAACTACGTAAGGAGGTATAAGCACTTATTGTTATGATAACAATATTATTTTTAAAAGATTACCTTTCAGTTTCTTGTCTACTAAAGACAAGAAACTAAATTTGTAAAAGAGTTGACAAACTGTATTTTGTGAAACTATTTGGCATCAACTCTTAATAAAATAATTCGACCCCGCTGAATAAGGTTTCACTAGATATCACACCCTATTCCGTTTCCTTCCCCCCCCCCCCCCCCTTTTCCACTCCTAAACATATTACAAAGAGTATTGGAGCTAAAATGTCTTATACAACAGAGATTAATAACAAAATAAAATATAGAAATAATAGTAAATAAATTTCGAAAATACCATTAGAAATTAAAAGTAGAGCGTTTTTGAGATTTTCTCACTAATTTGTGAGGTATGATATGGTCACACTCACTCTCTGATCATGTCATGGAAAATATATACGGAGAAGGTTATTTATTTATTTAACTTTTTATTGCACCAAAAATATAAAAAATATACAAAGACAATTAAACTTAAATTAGAAGGGGAAAAATGTTAGGACACTTGAAACGACGAACTATATATATTTATTCGTTTATATATGTAATTTTAGTATGTATGTATATCAATAATTACTAGCACCACATTCGAATATTCTGACACTTCCCTATGGTTGACTTGGAGAGAATGCTTTTAGCATTAAGTCCGCCATGTACACATATTTGTACTAATGAATAAATACATAAATAAACGACATGACGAACTTATGAACATTATAATAGAAGGTAAGATAAAAGCAAGGAGGGAAAGGAGGAGACGAACGCATAGTTAC